GGAGACTGTGAGTTCTAGTCCTACCTTAGGCATGAAAGCTGGCTGGGTGACTTTGGGCCAGGCACTCTCAGCCCAACTCACCTCACAGGGTTGTTGTGGGGAAAATAGGAGGAGGAAGGAGTATTAGGTATGTTTACTGCCTTGAGTTTTATTTATTTTAAAAAGATTTTTAAAAGATTGGAAAATTCCAGTTGCTCTTTTGGACATGTAATTTAGTTTTACAAGGATTTAATCCCATTAATGACAAAAACAAAGTAATGTAGCAAGGATGTAAAAAACAACCAGCTAAACTAGTTCAATCCTGAATCATTAATCTGGATCAGGATTTTCTTCATCCAGAACAATTCTATATATGAAAAGCAAAAAGAGCTGTGCAGACTCCGAGAAAAGCCTAAAATCCAGATATATACTTAAATAACACACTTCAGGTTTGGTGTCTTTTCTTTAGAAAATAGATAAATTAATATTTGAACCAGGAAGGCTGCCCACAACAGTAATCAAACTCCGCAATACTAAATACTATTGCAATACATACTAAACATTGAAGAGTATGGTAGTTGCCAGTGGGAACTGAAATATGGAGAAAAAATTGCATTCAGCTCAGGATTTAAACGTAGACATTAGGAATCTGGACACAATCTGTTAAAAGGATTTAAAATCCTAAATGTGTATCACCCTGTTAGGTGATAGTGTGTTTAGTGGCTGATTTTAAAAAACTAAGTCAAGTCATACCTAGTTAGTATTTGGACTCCTGCCCATTAGGAGATTCCCGGTTCTAGGTTAGACAGTTTAAAAAAAAGAAAAACCTGGGAGCAGTCAGTGACCAACCACTTCTGCATTGTTCCAAAGAAACTCATGAGGGGTCAAAACTGATGGAGATGTCCCCTTGGTTCCTTTATGCCAGTGGGGGAATCTGAAGCAGAGGGAATTCCTTTGCTGTTTCAAAAGTCTTTATAGAAGGAGCTAAGAATAGAGACATTCTCTCTCTCTCTCTCTCTCTCTCACACACACACTCTACATTCTTGCAAGTGCAGATTTACAGTAATTTAGAAATGTGAAGTCTGCATCATCTTTCCTAGATAATGGCTTTGCTTTTCCACTACCCCTTCCCCAAAGTAATAGCACTCAAATTCCTTTTTTTGTTTTTGCAAGCTCTGCTAATAAAATGCTCCATTAAGTTTTTGAGGTCATTTGGTTCTCTGTCTCTCTCTGCCCGGTTACAGCATCTAATGGGTCTCTTTCCTTTCTTGTTTATTTTGATAATCGGATCACCTTTTGTCTATATATACACAATACATTCAGTACTTGTATATGTGTAAACATACAACTCCTTTTTCACAGAAGCAAGGAAAAAACATGCATTATTTCCCTGGGGGACCGTAGATCTTGCTTGTTTGAGTTCTGTCCTCTGCAAAATTTCAAAAGATAATTGAGGGCATATCACTTCATTAAATCAGACATTGCATGCTGTAGCAGTAGCCTCAAGCAATTAATCCAGCTGGTTAATTTGTTTTAAATACCAATGCGCGAGGATAAACCAGATCAAACTGCACTTTATATAAAACCTATTATAAGGATGTGGGTCTCTCTCAGAACCACCAGGTCTGCTCCACCAACCAGGAACGTCCAAGTGAAAAGCAGCAACAATTGTTTTCACTGGCACTTAATGCCACCACCATCCATTTCACCTGGGAATTTTGGAACAGAAGGCAAATGTCTTCTGCAGTCAGACTCATGATCATCTGCAGAGGCTCAGGCCTAGCAAATTGTTG